AAAAAAAAAAAAAAAAAAAAAAAAAAAAAAGGTATGCTTCCCCATGTAGTCCATTCTATCTTGATAAGCCTCACTCTTGAAAAGTACTTCCTTATACTGACTTGAAATCTGTTTCTCTCTTGATTCCACCAACCAAGCCCAGGAATTTTGCCCCTTGTGAACACGGAGAACTACTCGAATCACTTTTCAAATATTTGAAGACAACTGCCACAGTTGATTAAACATCCTGTTTGTTCAAATACTCCTCCTGTGATGTTGTTTCAGGTGTTCTCACTAGCCTTAAGCTTTCTCATGAATATGCTCTGGTTGAACCTATCAAGAGGTGTGGTACACATTAGTGTATCTACTGTATGACCTCAAAAAATGCCTACTGGTGTAGAATTCAAACATTCTCAAAGGATTAAGCTTCTAAAATGGGTTAGCAGTTTTATTGCACAGAAAGAAATACATCAATTGAGAAACCTCTCATGAAGGGAAGCATTCATGAAGGGAACATGAAAAGTTTGTTTTAATTTTAGATAAGCCTTAAAACGGTAATGACTTCATGGTCATTTATCTTTAGCTACTGACTTGTAAAGGAGACTTACAGTGGAGACAGCTTAATTATCACTATGCAGTAATGCTTGTTGGAAGATGAAGGAAGTAGCATTTAGGTAAAATTTGGTATCACTACAGCACAATTGCTCACAGATATGTACACTTTCACAAACATTTATTTCATTATATTGCAGTTCAATATTTTGAGATATTAAAATTACAGTTAATATATTGAACTTGGGCTGAACATTTGTGAGGATCATTGCTCTTTTGTGTTGTTAGATTTTTTGTGTGTATATAAACAATAGCTTCAAAACTCTAACTTATCTAATAATTGTATGTTCTTTTTTGCCAGTGCAGGTGCTTGACTAAAGATTATGAAAAGCGTCCAACAGTGTCAGATCTTTTACAGCATAAATTCATTACACAAATTGAGGGCAAAGATGTGGTGTTACAAAAACAACTAATGAAATTCATTGGCATTCATCAGTGCATGGGAGGCACAGAAAAGGCCAGGTAATCAAATAATATTTTTACTCCAAAAGTGCAAAAATTGTTGAATGAATTCTGGACAGTTTTGCAATGAGATAGTTGTTAAGGTGACAAAAAAAGAAAAAAAATTCCTGGAGGTAATGAGAACTTGCATAAAAAGTGAATGTCAACTGTTTAGTTATATTTCAATATTGGTAAAATTACTGGCAGCATTTTTAAAACAATTTTATGAGAACAAAGAATGTAAACTTCAATAGAGCATTTGTACTGATCTATGTTTCCTCATTTTTTCTGCTCTTCTATAAGGTAAGCTATCTTAGATTTGAGATTTAAAAAGGAACATAACCCTTGAAAGACTTTTTTGGCACTATTATTTGTTGGTTCATTTGTTCTGGTTAAATGATATTTAAAGATCATTTGAAATATCTTTCTTAATACTTCTTATTTGGATTTTTAATAGTAGGTGTGTTTATTTTAGGAAGTTTCAGAAATATATACAACATAAAATTAATCAGGAATTACATTTTACCCTATAATATTTTAGTATCTTCTTGTGATTGAATATGCATTTTAAAACAAAATTGGAATAATATTTATATGTGTTCTGGAGCCTGTCTTCTTTCCCTGAATAGTGACTATCCATATCATTAAATATCCTTATACTACATATTTTTTAAGGACTGCATAGCATTTCCTTGCTATTGGTTTAAATAATTCTCTATTGCAAGTAAGAAATTTCTGTTATTAACTGTTTCTACTCAAACAAATAACACTGTAATGAACAGACTTGTGCATGAATCTTTCATTGTTTCCCTAAGATAAATTTCTATAGATGGTACTATAGGAAAAAAGGAATAATTTAAGATTTAAACAAATTTAATAATTTGCTCTTGAGAATCTTGTTTCATCCCAGGAGCACAGCGCTATTTAGGAAGTTTGGAGAGGTGAATAGGACATGACTTATTTGAATTCTTGTTGAGTTTACAAATTTAATTCCTATTTGCTTAATGACTACTATGTGCCACACACTGTGTTAGGACTTTATTAATATTATCTCATGTGATTTTACAAACTCTGAGGGAAATATTTCATAGTATTCCAGTGTCACAGCTGAGAAGAATTGAAGTTTGCAGAAATTAATTAACTTGTACATGGCTGTATAAGTAATGAATGATTTTGCAGAGATTCTGATTCTGATCCCAACACCCAAACTTTAATTCACATGAGTAAACAGCCTAATGATTGTGGAGGATCTCAGGAGATAATAATAATCCTTGCCTATGTGAGTTTATGGTTTTTTCTACAGACACAGGATTAATATACCTTTAATGAGGAAAACTTAAAGTTGTGTGTGGAATTAAGTTGACAAAAAGAAGGAAGCAGGTGTATAGGTTATAGTGAGGAGTCGGTCATGGGGTCATTTATGCCCATATTTTATTCTTTGTATGAATGCATTTTTGTAGTCTGCCACAAATCATCCTCCTCCCTCAAAAAAACCCAAGCAAACAAACAAAATTCGAGGTATACTAACGTTATGTAGGGTATTCAATATCAAGAACTATGAAAGATCTGAGATTTTACCCTACTTGCAAGCTAACAAATTGGCCTGCCACATTTTCACAAATGCTAGCAGAAGACTCAAGGCTTATGGATTAGAGACCAAGGGCTCTATGATTCACAGCTAAGCTGGCAGCACGAGATTTTTATTCACATTGATTATCCTTGCCCCATAAATTTTAGGGAAGATGTGGAATGGCCTAGGTAGATGCTGTGTACTCATTGGGTTTGCCTCATAGCTGGGGAACCCTGAGCTTGGGAAACTTCAATCTTTTAAAGGGTCTGGTAGCATATTTGTCCAAATTTTGCCTTGGAGGAGCCATTATCTGGACGCCAAATAAAACTTCCATTTTTCCTAGAGGGAGACAATATTAAAGGTTGTTTTCTATATAAACATTATTGAACATAGTCTGGAACAAAAGCTAATATAAGACATGCAGAAACCTGACAGACTTATGGAGAATTGTTTCCCGGATACAAGCATCATAACAATGGTTGAACTATACAATATTTAGGTTTTTAGCCTAGCACTCTAAATTTTAGTGATCAAAAATTTGTAAAGAATATTATAAACTAAGTTAGTCACTGTATTAAGTTCAATACTTCTGATTCTGAGTCACAAGATATATTCTTATTTACCTGTTAAGGATTCAGAATATTCTTTTAATATGAGAATTAATGCTTTATTTAGTTATGGAAATTTTTCAGTCATTCTTTTAAATATTGGTCCTCTCTCCTTTTTATTTTTTACTCCTAAGAGATAAATATAGGAACTTCCTAATTTACCTTATGTGGTTTGTAATTTCTCCTTCATATTTGTCATTTATTTAGCAATCTCTGCTACATTCTGAGTGAATTCTTCAGAAACTGTTTTCCAGTTCATTAATTCTCTCTTTGAATGAGGCCTATCCTAGAAGTTATCCTACATATTTTTCATGCTGATGTTTATATCAACGTCTATATTTTCATTTCTAGAATCTCTCACTTTTTGCCATTTATATCTGACTTTTTGTATCTAGCTATTTTTTTTTTTTTTTTTTTTTTTTTTTTTTGTATGAGTTGGAGTCTCTGTCACCCAGACTGGAGTGCGGTGGCTGTTCCTGGCCACTGCAGCCTCCACCTGCTGGGCTCCAGCGATCCTTCCACCTCAGCCTTCTGAGTAGCCAGAATTGCAGGCACGCACTACCACGCCCAGCTGATCTTTTTATTTATTGTAGAGATGAGGTCTTATCAAGTTGCCCAAGCAGGTCTCGAACCCACGGGCTCAGGCAATCCACTCACCTCAGCATCTCAAAGTGCGGGATTACAGGCTGAGCCACCAAGCCCGGCTCATATCTAGCTATTTTTATCTGGCTAATTTATTTTTCTTTTTTGTGAATGTAATTTCATTTTTTTCTTCTTTGATCTTTTAAATCAATCACTTTCAGATTTGCTTTTCAACACAGTTGAAATGTCCTGATTATTTAGTGCATCTGTTTACTTAATATTTTATTTCCAGCCGGGTTCAGTGGCTTAGCCTGTAATCCCAGCACTTTGGGAGGCTGAGGCGAGTAGATTGATGAGTTGGAGTCTCTGTCACCCAGACTAGAGTGCAGTGGCTGTTTGAAACCAGTGCAGGCAGCGTGGCAAGACCTCATCTCTACAATAAATAAAAAAATTAGCTGGGCATGATAGTGCATGCCTGTAGTTCTGGCTACTTGAAAGGCTGAGGCGGAAGGATTGTGGGAGCCCAGCAGGTTGACACTGAGGTGGCTGTGAGTGTGCCACTGCATTCCAGCCTAGGCAACAGAGTGAGACTCCAACTCAAAAAAAAAAATTGATTTTTTTCTGTGGTTTAGAATTTTAGTTTGAGCTCACATCTGAGTAGGAGGCTTTTGTTTTGCTTTTTTTTTTCCTTTTTTGCATTCTCTTCTACTTGGGGGGTTTTATTTTTGCCATAATTTGGCTTCAAGATTACCCAATACAAAGCCTTCTGCTGTTTATGATTTGAAGGATATTGCAGCTCTAGTCACTGAGTCAGAGGAAAGTAGACTCCATATCTCTGTCCCATTCTGCCATCTAAGCTGTTGACTCCATATAAAAGGAAAGAGGTATAGATTTTTTTCAGTCTTCTCTTCCAGACAATGAATCTCCACATTCAGTCCATTCTTTCTAAGCCTAGTTCAGGGCCTTCATTGTGAGTGGGGCATTTTAGTTCCTTTACCTTCCAGGTCTCTTTCTGATGCTGAACCTGTTTCTGATGCTGGACTTTGAGTCAGCTTATTGTTTCTGCCCTCTTGCCCAGTGTTTATCTGATCTGTTGTGTCCACTGTAATGCTCATCTTGTAGAGAATGTCTTTTAAGTTTTATTTTAAAATATATTTTTAATATTTTATTTTATACAAATGTATGTTTGGAGAAGTATGAGTGGAGATTGAATCATTTACCCACAACACCGTCTTGACCAGATCTTAGTCCCCAGTTAAAGGAGAAGGAAGATTGTTCCCTCTCTAGGCATTTGTATACTGGTCTGAAAGTGTGAGACATTCTCTTGCAAAAGGAAAGAGGTTCGGGGATGCCACTGGCAATATACTGGGCAAAAGCAGTCTTCTTGAAGAATATGAAAAATGATTTGATTTGTCATAGTTCCTGACATTGGTAAAATTGATCTAAAATTTTACTGTATCAAACCAACCTAACTAACTCAAAACTGACTTTTTTGTATGTGATATCATCCTTTGGAATTCAATTGAGGTATGTGCTCAGCTGGATAATGTTTTACAAATTAAAGATTCAGCTTGAAAGAAAAACTGTCCTAATATAAGTTGAATACAAACTGAGTGCTTTAAATGTCCTGATTGGAGGGGGCAGTGTGTTGAGAATGGATACAAGAACTTTCTACTATCACTCAAGGGGTGAATATAGCAAACTACTATTATAAGTTATTTGCCTATTCTGAGGAATGAGAACGTATGTGTAGGCAACAACGGCTCCCATGATACCCTTCTCAAAAACTGAGAAGTCATCTTTCACAGGAGACAAAATTGACAATGTTAGAATACAGACTGAATCAATAGAAACTTGAATTATGAAATAATTTAAAAGAAAATTTTGCTTATGAATCCAGTATTTTAAAATATTCAACTTCTTGATTTAATGGGAATAGATAAAAGGCTTTTTTTTTTTTTTTTTGAGTTGGAGTCTCACTCCATCGCCCAGACTGGAGTGCAGTGGCCGCTCCCGGCCACCGCAGCCTCGACCTGCTGGGCTCCGGCGATCCTTCCGCCTCAGCCTTCCGAGTAGCCGGAATTACAGGCGCGCGCTACCACGCCCGGCTAATTTTCTGATTTTTTATTGTAGAGATGAGGTCTCGCCTGCCCAGGCGGGTCTCGAACCCGCGGGCTCAGGCAATCCACTCACTTCAGCCTCCCAAAGGCGCGGGATTACAGGCTGAACCACTGAGCCCGGCTGATAAAAGGCATTTTTAA